TGTATAACTGTAGCTTTAGCCATAATATTTTCTTATGTTTAATGTCATGACATGTCACTAGATGTCATTTCAGAATGTTTTTAGCTACACACCACTTAACTAACAGACACATACATTCACACGTTGATTTGCTTCATGTTTTGACTACTGTTATGGGCAGCTACAGAGCTGGCAACAGAGACGTCTCGGTTGACGTTTCTGTGTAGTATGGGGCTAGCCCAACCGAGGTGATATAATGTAAGATGAAAGACCCTGAGCCCACCAGGCCTATACATCTGCCTGCGTGCAGTATGGAGTTGCAAGATACTTGAGCGTGTAATGTTAATTTTACCTGTGATTCTTTGAATAAATCAGCACTGTTTTGTAGTTACTTGGACTGCCTCGTCTCTCAGAGTCAGTATGGTAAAAGGTACGGGGTACAACAAACTCCAGAGGGTCATCCACTGAGAGATCATCACAATTTCCCCAGCTGCCGTCATCATCAGGGTCACGCTCTCTGATGGCCACAAACACCTCAGCCCGGTGCTGCTTCTCTGCCACAGGCAAGCTAGCACAGAAGGGGCAAGTGGCCCGGGAGGAGATGGCCAATGAGGCAGGCCTCACAGCAGGGGTAGGATGAAGCCCATATCACAGACTGGGCAAATGGTGATGGTGGCACAACGCTGGAATCTGGTGTTCATTCTTCTGGAACTTCACTCTTCAGACATTGCTCTTTAGGAATTACACAAGTGCTGAAGAAAAAGAGGGTGGCAAACTCGGGTCACATAGGCTTTTATGCGGCAACCGCAAACCTGAGTGGAGACAGCCCAGTACAGGGCACAGGGCAGAAAACAAATCTCTTCAGGACTGCACATGCAGGAGGGATAAAACCAATAGCGATAGCTCTTAGAGGGTGAGGCCTATACGAAATAGAACCAATATTGAATTAAGGGTTCTACATTGCAGAGACTTGGCAAATTATAAAACTGTTTAAATTATTGATAAAATAAATCTTTACCTGAAGACATCCAAAGCTTATGAGTAGAAAAAATCTGAAAAACTGGATAGGACTTGTAAGATTTGAGTCTTATA